TTAAGAAATATAAAAGCGCTTTATTAATATAGCTTTATATAAGCAAATTAGGCTTTAATACTTTTCTATATAAAATAAAGATTTCTAATATCTTAAGTCTGAACTGCGACTACTTAAGAAAAGAAAGCATGACAATAAAACATGTTCTACTAAACTATTCTAAGTAGTCTACAGAGAGAGAAGAGCTTATACACCCTCTGTATACGACCGACATCAAGGAAATCCTGACCTCTAAGAAGGGGGCGAAGGCAGCCATCAGGATGATCCAGCGTACGAAGATCCTAGACCAGTTCAGAAGGGCCGTTGACTAAGACGCAGAATAACGTTGACAAGAGTCAAGTGGAAACCGGGAAGAGGAAGAGGACAGAATAAAGGAAGAGGACAGAGCAGAAGAGGAAGAGAACAGAGCAGAGGAGGAAGTATAAGGGCGAAAGAAAGAAAGGAAGAAGGGAGGACTATATAAATAGCGAGAGAAGGTTAACGAGCAGACCTACATAGGTTTTTTAGTCTAGATTAGGTTAATAGAATTTATTACTACTACTACTACTACTACTACTAAATATAATAAAAATTAAACTGCAGGCGTACTTACTTTATATTATTACTTTTATATATAATAATAAAACCTTATAATAAGGTCTAGCTTTATAGCCACTCTTGACAAATATTTAGATTCTTAAAGATCTTGCTATTAATAAGAGTAAGCAGGAAAAAAGTAAGTAAGAATTATATGCGCTCTTTGAGCAGTGCCTTTATATGTCCTAGGCACTTAGGATAAGCAGTCTATAGAGGGGTAACTATAGCAATAACGAGAGCAAGATATAATACTAAGAATATCTATCTTAATACCTGTATAAGAAGTAACAAAGGTTCGGATCAGAGATAAAAAGCGCGTTGGAAACTATCAGGAACACTACATACAAATTACTATGGCGGATTCCTGCCAAGACCCAAACGCCGAAAATACCGCCGCGAATATACCGCTCCCAACACAACCCGACAAATCAGTACCATCTTTGCAAAAATTTACGAATCTCTTGTGAGCGACAGAAATCGGTGTTGGTATCATGTCTACTTGTTCGCGAGGTAGGATGAGGCCATGTGAAGCACGACAGAGGAGCCAGTCAACTTATTGGCAAAGCGTGATAGTGATGTTGTGATATTTATGTGCTTTCGAGGATTAGACCACCTATAGCGAATTTAGACTTGGAAACATGGCCGCTGCTGCCTGTATATTTACCAGCAGAACTTCGGCGGACAATTGCCCCACGTAGCAAAGATTCTGCTAAATGTTGGCGTATCCTGAGAATCAATGTGCTACTTCTGAGTATCTCTGTAAAGGCTGAAATTAAGTCCAGGCCCCGGTCGGTAATTGAATCGGTCTTCGACCATTATTAGTGGCAGCCACGGTGATAGAAACTGGAATGGGAATGTGAACGGGCTCGATTGACTTGCGACTGAGCTTGTCGATCATCTCCTCGTTTTGGGTCCTCTTCGCATCCAAAAACCCGACAAGAGCGATGATCAGGGCACCTACAGTATCATTATCAGTTTGAGGAACTAAATTTCATACTAGGAAAGTATACCTGCTGTGACAATATACGAGGCCACAGTGAAAGCGGTGGCCACCATTACTTGAATATCTGTTCCCGCCCTGTAGATAAACACACGAATCCAGACAGTAGCAAAGATTATAGAGCCAAGCGGTGGAAATGCCAGGATCATCGATATCGAGCCAATATTGTATTTCCGCACGAAGTTTAATGCTATAGTGTCCCTCGATAGCGCATGGATTTTGTCTGCAATGGCACTTGTCCTTTCTCCGAACTCTGGATGTTCAAATAGATTGACTAGACGGCCTTGGTAGCGTCCCAGTTGAAGCGTTTCTACTTCACGCATTAAGATAAAGGTGTCTTTAGTCATCTATACAAGAGTTAATAGGTTCACATCGGAAGAGACCACTGATAGAATACCTCTACGCAGTCAATCCTTTCCAATTGCTTTGGGAATAAAAGCTCCAAGAGCCCCCGCTCTACCTGAACCATTCCATAGAAAAGTCGAATCCGTTCCAAAACAATCTTGTCATTGTGGGTCGGCGGAATTGGGATGTGGAGGTGGTTATCCTGAATATAGATGTGAAGAAGTCTCTCATCACGCTGTCGCCAGGCTTCTAGATAATTTTGCTTGAAATCGGCTCCGTCTGCGATCAAGAGGTATATGTACCACCAGAACCATGTCAGGAAAGAGCGGCGACCAGAAGTCAGGCAAGCTCGCGACGCGATATGCTCCTGCCATTTGCATTAGTCCTATGCTGAAATATCGGAAGCAGATTTGGATCCATACCCAAAATTTTGGATACCATTTGATCAAGGCTAATAGTAGACGGTGCTTTTTTGGTATTGGAATCCCATAGATTGTCCTGATTCCAAGTCTGAGGAGACCGTAACGGATGGCAAATATACAGATCAGAATTAGTACAGTATAATGGATATTATATAGCCAAATGCTGTAACTGAAGATGACGAAGGATCTCATAAATATCCGCTGGACTGAGAGTATCCACGCATCGAAGAAAATGTCTTCAACTGGTATAGGTGTTTGAAGCCGACTGAAAGCACTCGAGGTGAATAGTGACGGCCTTGACAAGCTTTCAGCTTGTGCACTGATACCGTTGCTTCCTTCAGGGATCGAATCCAGGCCAATGATGCCTCTGCGTACTAGCATAGACTTGAACGTATTCCAAGGGTTGATCGAAGTGCCCACCACATTTTGTGGCAAGCCAGGCAGAGTTTCGATAATTGATGGATTGCCATGCTCCACAGAACCGTTGTCCGTACTGCGGCGTCCTAGCTTACTCTTGATCCAGTCCTGGAGCCTTGCTCTCATAATTTCTGATATCGAAGGTTATAGCGAGGCTAATTAAGACAAGGCCCGATCTAACACTCAATTCTCAACTTTATCTCGTGGTGTTACACGGAACGCCGTGGGACAGGGTATAGGGGTGCTGTAGAAGCAGGAGAGTCACCAAATAGCTGCGTATGAACTACTGTATGACTGTGTAGTAAGGCGATGTTGTTCTATCTAAGTGCTATAGAGGCGTTGAGAGATATGAGCGTGCGGAGCGCCAAGCCTTAGCCCTAAGGCTGAATGTAGTCTAGCGCTTATAGAGGACTTGGCTACACGTGTATAGGCAAATCCTTAGCTAATGCTATGCCCTGTACTATTTCTCTTTAGGCTATAGCGCAGGTTATACTATAATAATTGTTGGCAGCAGAAAAAGACTATAGCCTTATAGCTATAGAAAAGTAATAGAAATAAGCAGAAAAATAGTATCTTCTAAAGCTAATACTGCTTTTAAATCAGGATTAATATTATTATAAGCAGTCTTCTAAAGTTATTAATATTACTATTATCCTTTATAAGCCTAATTAACCCTTATTATAATCACCCTTCCTTATAAAGCTTAGCGTTAAAAAGTACCTGCATTTAGCAGTAAGATTATTTCTGCAGCCTTAGTAATAGAAACATCAAATTCATAGGAGTCTGCTACAGCCTTAGCGTTAAGAACATCAAAATTCGTTAAGATTCAGCTGTAGCCTTAGTATTAAGAATACCAAAAATAAACTATAAGAGTAAAACTTAAATTAGCTGTATTAGGCTAATTAAAAAGGCTAAAGATCTATAAATAATATTATTTGATAGCCCAGAAAAAGCTCTTTCAAAATATATAGACTATTAACTTATAGAGCTATTATTAATGAAAAAATTAAAAAAAGAAAAAAAATTATTAGTTTTTAAAAATAGGTTTAAGATTAACTTTATTATAACAAAAGTTATAAATTTATAAATAAGATTTTATTTTAATTAATTTATAGACTCTCAGAGAAAGCTTATTTAGATCTATAGCTCAACTAAATAATAAGTTATAAAAGAAACTACTTTTTATAACTAGTATTTTTTTACTATTTTTTTTGGTTTTAAGCTAAATACTATAATTATAAAGATATATTTAATTATTTTAGTATCTTAAAGTAATTATATATTTGTAATTATAATACACAACATCTAAGTAAAGAGGCTAGACACTAACAAACAGCAGAAGGAGATTAAGAGGCTACAAAGGCTTAATAGCAATCTACACAAGGATATCAAGATTGTTAAGATAGGCTGGTCAGCTAAGGTGATTAAAGACAAGAAGGGATTCTCTTCGCTCCTAGTTAAAATAGAAACTGCTAAGATAGCAAATCGAATGCTAGCTGAGAGGTTTGTAGTCGACTACGAGCTCAAGCACTACAAACAATTCGCATGTACCCGCCCAACCTAGTGCTATAACTGTTAAGAATATAGGCACTAAAGCAAACAGTGTAGACAACTCACACACTATAGACACTATACGGCCTCTTATAATACTAAGGATTGTCTTAACAAATCGGCTCCGGATCGCTACTATTATGCGGTCTGTATACAGCCGGGCTACTAAGTATGATCGCCCTCCTGCGAGGTAAGATAGGCTAAGAAACTACGCCTAGTCAAGAACAAATAATTAAGGGCTTAATCTTATTAATATGCTCTACTCTTATCAGAGCCCTAGAGCGCTCTAACAGAGACTATAAAGCGAATGTGCCCTGTTAGCAACTTAACAGATTCTAATTATAATAGTAGCATAATAATACCTCTTGCTTTATTAATAAGACGTCTAAGAAGCGATAGCCTACAGCAGATTATAAATGCTGAGATTAAGGAAAGGGCCTTTATAAAGGCTAAACATAACCGCCTATTTAAGAAGTTTATTATTATAGACCCTAATAACTATTAAAAGAATAGTCCTAATAAAGAAGTTATAATATACTAAACATTAAAACACTAGTAATTCTATAGTATAATGTACACAAAAAGAAAGTAGGCACTATAATCTTATTCTTTAAAGACGACTATATTCTTAACTATAACATTATAGTCATCTAGGAGCTATAATATAATCTATAAATGAATTCCTTACTTAGCGCTTATAAAAAGGGCTTTACCTTACTTTATAACCTAAGAAAAGATACTAGCGTATGCTTTTATATTAAAGATAATATAGATATTAATAGCTAAAAGGTCTATTATAAGTCTCCTGATATTACGTCGCTAGTAATTTGAATATGACTTAATAATAAGCTAATAATAATATATATTTATAATGTATATAATAGGTTATCTGCCTTATACTTAGTAATAAAGGTGCTTCTTATAATAATAATGCTCTATAACCCTCTAGCTAGGCTGGGGGAGTATATTCTATTAGGAGACTTTAATCTATATTATTCATACTAGGGCGAAACCTTATATAGCACTAAGCATAAAGCAGCAGAGCAACTAATTAATCTTATTACTAACGCTAGATTAGAACTAGTCCTCCTCTTAAGCACTATTATCTAGAAGGCGCAGGGCCTCTACTTAACTATTAACCTAGTATTTATATCTCTGCTATATTAATCTTACAACTTGACTACTACTAAGTAGAATACAGTCTATACTAATTAGCTAATCATCTCCTTTTCTTAACTTAATTACATATAAAGAATACGCCTTATATAAAGAGGCTAAAAAGGGCCTAGAAACTTATTAACATAAATAAAGTAGCGGAACTAACTTTAATAGCACTTCTTAAGAGGACCCTTAACACGCCTGAGACAATTAACATCTATATAACAGAGATCTAAAACTACCTCTATAAGATTATTAATAAAGAGGTCTTGTAGGCTTAACAAGATGCCTATAGCAAGTCTTTCTAGACTCTAGAGTGCTTAGAGATAATAAGGAATACTTATTGACTTTACTATATATAGATATTAATAAAATAGGAGGAAGACTAAACATAATATTAATAAGCTAATAATTATAAAAAGCGAGTTATTAATAAAGCTAAGTAGATCAACTTGAAAACAGAAATTAAACACACTTATACTGACTTTAAAAGTTTATAGAAACTTATTAAATAGGCAAGAACTAATAGCTATTACCTATAAGATTCTCTTAAGTTTTTATCGCTAGTAACCTAGGACGCTATAATATATATCTTTAATAACTAGGTTAAGATGCTTAAAGCTGCCTTTTTCTCACTACTACTAGAGGGACTTCTTAATAATATTAAAGCTATAATATACTTATAGGTATACTACTACCTAATAGCCATTACTAAGAAGGAGGTATAAAACACTATTAGGTGTCTAGGGGCAGACAAAGCCCTAGGCCATAATAGAATCCCTAACAGAATCTTCTAAGCATATATTAACTAGCTTATACTTATACTTATTTACTTGTTTTCCGCTTATATATTACTAGAATACCACCCTTAGGCTTTTTAGGAGGCTTATACACTAGCCTTAAGAAAGCCTAATAAATTAGATTACTTATTCTTTAAAGCCTATAAATTA